TAGAGCTCGCAAAAGAGATTTTTGATAAAGTAGCTGCGAACCCTACATTTATACAATGCATCATTACTGGCGAAGGGACTTGGGTTTATAAATATGACATCCAACAATCTAACACACGGCGCTCCAAGTTAATCGAAGTCGAGAAAATTAAAATTTACTAAAATTTGATCAGATGGCATATACAGTCTGTCAACTTACCTTATTAATATTAATATTAGGACCTTTTATATATACTTCTTCAAACGAGGCATATTATCTTTTCTTTATATAATGATAAATACTTTCGGTCTTCCTATATATTTATGGATTTATTATATTCGCATGAAGCCTATACTGACATTATTTATCTTTATTGTCACTTGTCATATTTTAATGCTGTCAAACTTTATGCACTATCAACTTTGGTTACAAAAACTATCTATGAATGGAATATTATCTATCATTCACTTCATTGCGTTCGTCTTAACTACGTGAACTTCACTGATCTGTGATCTATCAGCTGTCATAAATTACTAGGACCTAATGATTAGTTCTTTCTCAAATGTGGATTAAAAGGTAAAGACGTCTTGTTTTTAGCTTTGAATCAAGGAACTTAGAAGAAGAAAAAGAACAGTAGATGAAAGCTGCAATTTCCTAGCGTTTGGGTGATCTAAGCAGTTCATTCATGGTGCTAATGGAAGCCCATACATCATATGGTCAAGTTCTGATCACTAGTTTGAAAGCTTTGAGCTTTCTATAATCATAAAAGTAATAAGTAGTAAGCTTGATTCGTATAATCACTAAATCAAGAAAATCTAAGAAAATTAAGCTTCGATACTTTTTCAATGTCATTATTTCCTTAATCTAAATGTAAAATAATTGAACAAGGTTTGAAAGTTAACTTCTAATCTAATCCAAAAATCTAATGCAGCAATTTTTATATATTACAGAGACTTTTAATTATTTTACTTCGCATTTAGCGTACAACAATTGCCTCAGCCATCTCAACCCAAACGAATGCCAATTTTATACATATATATATATTTTTCTGTTTATAATAATTATTATTTAGTTCTATATGTGTAATCTTTATAATTTTTTTCCCTCATGTTCACTTTTAATGTCAGTAACTATAATTCCGGTCAATTTGATCTGTGCTGATGTTGTTACGCCTATTAATTTTATTGCTCTCCGGCTGGTGTTTTATGAAGCTTCGCAGCCGTTATTGTCGGCTGTACAATCGACCATACATCCGCCTGGCCGATTCAATCGCATCAATTATTTTCGCCATTGAGCGGCGAGGCACTTAAAATTGCGCACATACATACACTCGTACAAGCACAAATGGTTTGTTGTAGTAGTCTACAAGTCAGTTATGTAATGCCAAATATTGGGCAGGTACTAAGGCGAGCAACGCTGGTCCAGCCTTTAGTGCAGTCACGAAAAAGCTTAAAATTATTAAAAAATCATTAAAAAGTCTTCACATACCGACACATACACTCAGCCACTTGTCTGTTCCAGCAACGAAATTGAAAACCCAACGGTGGCATCGTCCGCTTGGCAAATGCATACACACACATGCAAACACACAAAGCTGTGAGCACGGGTAAAATAGTCATGCTAGTCAAACGAAATGTGGCTGGGGAAGGTCAGTTTTTACTATTTTAGTTCGTTGAGATTGTCAAGGTCGAAACTAAAACTAAACTATTTCAATTGCAAATTATACGGATATGCATCATCCACACATGCGTACATACATACGCACGTCCATAGATAAGTATATTAGATGCTTCTGCTCATAAAAACTGTAAGCTACGGATGTAGGCAACGCCTGTGCAAGTAGGTGTGTATGTACATATGTAAAATAGTTGAGTGCTGTCGCAAAGCTTCAAGTGGAAATGATTACAGTTATAGCATCTGCATGTGTGTGCATATGTGTGTTTTTATTTCTTTATCTTCGTAATCTTTGCTAGCTTTTGCTTTCGAAATTTCGTTTGTGGAAAATGAACTTCGTTGCAGCAATTTTAATTGAATTATGAAACTGCAGAGGCGAGCTTGAATGTGTATATTGGAATAGGAATCATTTTATATAGTTTCAAAACTCATTCAAATTTGTTTTTAATTAATTTTTAATATTTCAGAGAAACAATTTTTGGCTATTTCTAAGCAATACAGAGATTTACGATAACAAATCAAAACCTTGGACGCGCAGTGAGATCTAAAAGTATTTTTTGCTGTGAAATTAAAAAGAATATGCGGTAGAGCTTTTGATGTTATCAACGCTAAAATATATGTAGACTCAAATTTTCTAATAGCGATCGCTTATCAGCGTGAAAATTCGATTCTCAAAGAATAGTTTATACAAGAAAAAACATGTCTCAAGGCAGCCGATTCACATACAAGTTTACTCATTTTGTTTGACAATTCATAATTTACAAAACAAAGCGAAGAAAGCAAAAGCTAAATCAGAATGAACGCTTTGCTAACCGTGCTTTTCTCTATTAAAATGGCGACTATTTTTACTACAATTTACTTCACTTTGTTATGCTTCGCCTGGGTGCAAATGAACTTTTACAAAAACATACATTAAACTTAACTGTCAAAGCAAATATCTGAAGCGGTTCTAATTAGTGAAGCGAAAGTGTTCTCTAGTGAAGAACAAAATGACAGTTTAACTTGCATATATATATTACACATAAAACACCGTATAAATTTCTCGTGTTATCATAAAAGGCTGTTGCGGTCAAAAATATAGCAAAAGTCGACAAAATCATTTCTGAAAACCAAAAAAAACTGATCGAACTTGCTCGGACTTTAAAGATATAAAGTCTACGTGTGTTTCGAGAAGCAATTTTTTTCAAGTATTTCGAATACACATATATTTAAGATTAGTCTTCGATAATTTGAGGTTAAACCGGCAAAAAGTTTCGGAGATATGAGCGTATTTGTAAGAATTTTTTAACTTCGTGTAATCGGCTCCCAAAACTTTGAACACGTTTTTCTAGTAAAACTGTTTTCAGAGCGGGTGAGGAAAATTTCTCCGAAACTGATGGAAATCGATTTGAAATTTTCGCACGACCTGCTTAGATGTATTTGTCAAGTAATGATCAAAAGAATAAAATTTTTTAAAATAATTTAAATTTGTGAAGCCAGTCTAAAATGTCGATGGTATTTCTGTTGGAGCATAATATCAAATTTTAGCAAAAAATTTATTTACTCTTATGAATATTTCAGTAACAACTACAGCTTAAAGGTAGATAGTTTAGAAATTTAACAATAATATTCTGTTTTACCGCCAGATATGTTTTAATATTTTTGGCAGCTGTTCGAATAAATAATTCCAAAAAAATTTTTTTTAAATATATTAAAACCACATTTCATGAGTTACACAAGTCGCAGCAAAAATTTAAAAACATTTTTGGAATTTATTAAGAGAAAAAAAACAAGGTAATTTCAGTAAAAATATCATTTTAATTTTTAAGCAAATATTTTTATTTTAAAAATTCTAGAAATCCCAAATATTAAAAATTAAAATCCTTTATGTATTCAAACAAGCATTTTCTCTTTTGTCTCATTTTTCTTTGTCAACTGCAATTAAAATATTTCCTTTGTGTTAACCAAGCGTTATTGGCCTCAATTTCGCAATTTTCATTGAGTTAAATTCTTTCGCCAAAAGCAAATCGAATCAATATTTACACACTACTCAAAAAGTTCCAACAAAACATGCGAAATATTTTTGCAATGGAATGTCGCATGGAAAAACAGAGTGTGCACCACAATACAACAACACACCTAAATATGCATGTACGCATGTTTTTACAAACGTTGACCTGCTCCATAGCCGCCAATATTTCAACAGGTGAATGGAGACTGTGGACAAAAATTTATTGGCTGGTTGGCGGTCGCACACCCTATGTGATTTTTAATAAAGGCGTTTTTTATACAAAAAAAAACCGTTACAAAAAGGGTAACAGCACAAAAAAGTAAAGCAAGTGAGCGAAAAAGTCGTAAATGTGCTTAAAATCCTATAGACTCTCAGTGGATCTGGTGGCTCAAAGGGCAGAACCTTTTCGAGCTTACTCACAGCGACCGGAACAAAGAAAAACATGAAAAATCCGGCTTAAGCGCACAGAAGTATGCAATATTTTTGCTACTCGCACACGCTTACGCACCTTTAGATAAAAAATCATTAAGTATTCAATGTGTATGAAATATTGCACTGTGGGGAGTAAGCAAATTCAGTTCCCGTACAAATTGAGCGGTTGAGCGCCTGCAGTTATGCAAACATTTTGTGAAAAGCTCTTAACCACACAGTGGGGCTACTTTAAAAAAGGTAGCCTTTTCACTGCACATATATATATGTACATATGTATGCCAATTATTTAATTTTTTTTTTCATGTATACTCATTTGTTTCATGTAAGTCGCAGTTGCGCCGGAAATTGGCAAATTATTAATATTCAGTTTTGCTTGAAAAAGCTCTGTCAATATATATTATAGAGTAAATAAAAAGTGTATAAATACGTCATCTGTGAGTTACTGGAATATTTTTAGAAACCATATTTTTAAAAATCATAATAATATGCCTATGATAATGAAAACCTAGTCATCTACTAAGTTTGTAATCGCCTAGAGAATACCTTTTCCTGTAGGTCTTTTACGCTAATCTCCATACTCCCAACACATTTTAAATTTAAAAATTTTTATTTTACCAGGTATCTTTTTTAATGCATTTGAGTGAGACTGTTGGTTCTTTTTACACCTTCTGCTATACACCAAACATCTTTTTCACCTTCTCACATCTTCGTTATCCTTTTCGACACTTTGGCATGGGTATCAATCGCTCAATTAGAAAATGACAGTTTACGCATTAAAATTATGCAGTTCTCACTATTTAGCTTTTGATAGTTAATTATGCTATGGTTTTTTTTTTATTTAAGTTATGCATTCTTCACTATTAAGATCAAATATATTTTGTACAAATTAATTATTAATAATTTTACATACTTTTAGGAAACTCACCGGTAATTTTTTATGCGGCTTTACAATAAATCCATTAAATCTGCAATAAAAAAATTCAAATTAGATATTATTTAACCACATAAATACTTGTATAAAAAAATTGGCTAAAAATTAATAAAGTAAAATTTTTTAATTATTTAATACATTGCTGTACTCTGTAGAGACGTTGTGGTTTTGTTTAGTTTGAGACACACACTCATTAATATTCAGGCCAATTTCTTTTCCAGCAAAGAATGCTCTTTAAACTTTTTGCTATAATACTTGCAAAAAAATATTTAAATTACTGCAAAAATCACAAAATATAATATATACGAATATTATTATGTATAGCTCTCCTCCTTCCTTTCACTACATTTACGTGTTTCAAATTTAAAATAAATTAACTTGCAAAGCTTATATAAGCACCAAAGTAGTTTACTATTTTTAATAAGTGTGGCAACACTATCAGCACAATTTTCCAGCTCAAATATTATTAAAAACATTGAATACCAAAATAATTTAAAAATGCCCACCCTAATTAGGCATTTAGCTCTAATTATCTTGCTTCACCTTGACGCTTGTTTTTCGCTGAAGTGCGCTTTACTCAACAACACAAAAATAAACCGCCGCAAATGATGAAGATTAAAACAAATGCCAATGGCGAAAAACAAAAACCACAAAAATATCAAATCAAAGCAAAGCTCAAATAAGCAACATGTACTAAGCGCTATGCCAACCACAAAGCCTACACTGCCTTAGTATGTATGTATGTATGCATATTTATGTGTAAGCAAATTTGTTTGCTTGTAGGACGAACGAATTTTCTCAGGCTATTATTAACGTAAATGTAACAGTACAGTGAAATGTAGCAGCTTCAGAAGTCTTTAGGGCGAAATGCTTGTTAATTTTCTGTGAATTGAATTGGTATTTGCGCTTTGCCCTTCACCAGCACAAACACACATAAACACATGCAAAAAGCATCTACACATATAAGATATAGTTATACATATATATAATTTATAGCTTTGAGCCAACAAATGATTTCGTTTTGCTTCATTTGCACAGCTCGTTCGAATTTAGTGCAGCTTTTGTTTTGCTACTTTTTACTTAAAACGGTTTTGTTTGTATTTTGTTCTTTATTATTTGTTGTTTTTTTTTCCTGTTTTTCGCAATAATTTTGTCTTTTGTGCCTTTTCTTTTGCATCGTGCTCTCCATTTCACCACTGCCACATTGTTGCTGTTGTTGTTGCTCATCTGCCCCAAAAATTTACAATCGCGTCTAATTAATCGGCTCGTTTTATTTTGCTGACTAAGCGAAAAGCGATTGTCCCATGGTAATTGCTTCGTCGCAGGCTAACAAACGCTATACTATTACCAGCGTTTTTCTTGTTGTTCCGCACTTTTGTTTGCCCGAGATACTTGTACATACACTCGTACAACACAGTACAATTACCAGCTGCCATGATACACTTGAGGCGTGCTTTGTTAACGACAATGGTCGAAGGTAAATATTGAAGAAATGGAGTGTAACAAATGCCTGGTGATGCGTTCAATGCTAGAATGGGGCCAAACGATTTGATCTGCGGCAAAGCCAATGAGGAGAGCACAGAATAATGTGACGCTTTTATTTCTTTTTGGGTAAAAGTAAAAGTAAAAGTAAACCACAGTGCAAGAATTTGATTGCTTAGTTTTGTGATGTTGAAGAATGGTTTGTGGTTTTATCGCTTTTCAATTTGAAAGCGTCGTAAATTAGCAATATGTTATGCTTTGAACGCAAAGGCGAGCTTTTTCGAGGAAATGCTTTCGAAAATATTGGAAACCAAATTTACTGGGGTTTCTTTTATACACCAGGAAGTGTTGGAGTAGTTGTGTACAAAGTATTGAGACAACTTCGAAGATAGTCCACAATGAAAATGTCTTAAGTTGTACAAATTCGCTTCAGCCAAATAAACAATACTATATCTTGGTCTTCTTACAGAAAATGTTGATGATAAAAAGTAACCTCTCAAACTTAACATAAAGATTATCCTACTCCAATAAAATTGAACAATACCAGTTTTTGAGTGAAGAGATCTGATGAACTTTATACTTAGGAAATGTGTAGCCTTGAGAAATAGGCTATTCTTTCATCCTACGACTTAAATTTATTTTAGGTTATGTGAGGTACGCTGTAGATAAGAACAATTAGCCTACGGACACGAATAACAGTAACAAAGGTTTTCGATACCTTAACTATATCCCAAACATCTCTTTCTATCCGTCTATCAAACTCAGCTAATATCTTCCGAGTTGAAGTATTAGACATAAGAAGGCTTGTGGAGCTCTAAGGAATTACTAACATATGGTAGGATATTGAATACAGATATACAGAAAACCACGCGACATTGCTGGCCTTGTTGTTGCCAAACTTTAATTTTAGAGTATTCAATAATTGCAGAAAAGCTTTATGCTCACTGGCATGTCAACTTCACTTATACATAATGTGGGTTCTCGGTCACAGGAACATTTTCAGCAACGAAAGTGCAGACGAGTTGGCAAAGCTAGGATCCTCTTTAGATGAATCCAAGGCGGAGTCTAAACCTTAAATGACTGTCTACACAAAGCATAACGGGTATACGTAAGTAGTTTCATTGAGAGCACCAAATGGTTTGAGCGAGTTAATATCGTTTACACGATATGAGTCTTGTTACATAGATCTTACTGCTATTTATACTAACTAGTGTTACTTATTACTAGTTGATAGTTTCTTTACATATAACATATTGTTTGTTTAAATACATTTGCATTGTTCTTAGATAAGGTTGTTTTGTTTAATGTTGTTTTCAAACATTCTGTTCATTCAGAGATAAGGTTGTTTTGACGTTTGTTTGTTTAGGATAAGTAAACGCTCCTTAACTAGCGCACAGATGAGCCGAGATAACAAAATTCAATCAAAAGCTGCTTTCATTGATTTATTGGACTCTTATCCAACTACTTTATCTTAACTAGAGTTTTTTCGAAAAATATTTTTAAAAACGATTTTAATTTATGGGGATCGACTCTTTTTTATTAGCTGAGTACTAGGCGTGTTCAAAAAATAACGGGAATTTTCGGTTTATGAAAAATTCTTCTTCATTTGTCTACATTATTGTTGTCGTCTTCAAACTAGTCAACATTTTATATTTTGCACATATGCCAGCGCTTCTTCCAATCGTCTATATACTTATAAAACTCGATTTTTGTGATAGCCTTTTGCTATTTCAGCGGTTTTTATCTATCTTGTTAAACAGGGCCGTCGTAAGGTTCTCTGCATTTTTGGAAAAAGGGAAAAGTCACACAGAGCCATGTGTGCCGAGTATGGAGGCTGGGGCTACGTTACAGTATTGTTTTTAGCCAAGAATTCACCATAACCATGAGTAGGTGCATTAAAGAAAATCGCCAAGCCATAAAAGCACGTCTAACCTTAGCGGCTGTTACAGACGAAGTAAGCAAGCAATGAATACAGAGGCATGTGTATCAACATAATAAAGAAAAATTTAGACTCTCCAAGCCCGCCAAATTTTAATATTAAAATTTCCGGTATTTTTTAAACACACTTTGAATAGTGAAAAACAATTGCATTCATACTCCAGATTTCAAATATTTGATATTAGCTTAAAGACCATTATTAGTTTTTTGAAAGTAAAGAGAGCTTTTATAAACCCTACAGCGAATAGCACACATACTAAGTTTTATGCTAAACTGTCTTTCCCACAATTCATATTGAAAACCTTCATTAAGAATACACATTAATGTTTTAAGAACTACAAGCACCAACTATTAAAAACAGGAAGTAGCTAGAATTACATAATAACTAAAGCTTATTACATTTCCGCAGCAGTTGTATAGAAGTTGGTTAAGTGCGTAACTACTATTAAGTAAATTGTGAGTTTGAGTTTGTATGTTTTAATGGAGATGAAGCAGCTCGCCCAAAAATCTGTGGTATAAGCAGCGGTTGCACTTTGGTATAGTTATATTAAAAATGGAATAAAAAGTGTAGTCTGCGAGATTTTCTTACACTTTAAGTATACAATCTTTTATTACTTGATGTTTGTATTATTCTACAGGAAATTAGACAACGCTAGCGTAAACTAATGATTTGTTAAGTTATAAACACAAAACAGTTTTGACCAGATGAAGGCTACTTGCAACCATATTTACATGGTTATAACAAATTTCTCAATTAAAGCGAACATGAACTCTACAAGAGCGGCTGCCACGAGGCGTAGAAAATGTAACAAGTACTAAGCAAAAACAAAAACAAAGTGTAATAAATGTGGCACAAAAAATTGCTTGTTTTCTGTTGAATAAAACAAACCAACGACGAAAGGTCGTTCAAACAGCCGGAAAACAGCATAAAACAACAACAACAGCATAAAGTAAACGAAATTAACAGCAACAGCTGTTCAAGCCGTTGTGACTAGCTCAACAAGAGGAGACCTCCAGCGCGCGTAGCTGACACCTTCATTATCTCAACAAGATCGAAAATAAATACATTGGAGATGCACAAAAGTAACAAAAACAGTGAAGAGCCCGAAGGCTGAAAAGCCTCGATACTTATGGGCAGACAACGGCAGTGAAAAAGTTGAAGCAACAACAACAAGCTAAGCAATTGGCAGAGCATTGAAAACAGCACCGAATTGTTTAATCAAGTGTGAAATCGGCCGCATCGGTTTGCTATTACTTTTCTTGCTTTTTTCATTGCTAACTGTAAAACAATCTTTTCCCGGCATCAATCTAATGACCCATAATAACTGCTTGTTGTTGTTGCTGCACCATTAACTTTGTGGAAATAATTAACATGTTTTATTACGAACTTTTGGAGCAACTTGAATCAATACACGTACAGACAAATAAATGCAAAAAATACACTGAATATGAAGAGCACAACAAAAATGCAAGAAAATAGCAAAACATACTAACAATATGTTAAACAAACGAGATTAAAGCGAAAAGCATCAGAGAAACAGCTGTTCACCTTTCAGCGCTGACCTTTGCCATGTACCGTGCACGCTCTTCACCACCACGCTTGGCTGCACACGA